AGGTGCTCTCGGGGTCACTAACTAGAAAATTAAATGCCTCTGTTAATTATTCCTATTTTTTGATGCTTGAATGCCCAAGTGAATTCAATAATGTAGACATTTGCATAGCAATCAATAAAGCTACTTGTGGTTTAAAACTAGGTGAAACTTCCAATTAAGAGGTGGTTCATTGCACCTTGTTTTGTGCTACATGTAACATCATATCAAAATATACTGTATTTTATGGACTCAATGTATGCTAACCCTAATTCTTCAAAGGGGTTATTGCAGCTTCTCACATAAGATCCTAGGTAGGCCACTGATAAGGGATCATGCTAGTGAAAACAAAAGAAAGCAAAAAAAATAGGATTTTTTTTTGCCAACCTGTACATGTAAAGAAAGGAGCCCACCAACCAGAGATGGCATCAATTACATAATCATTGTGCTGTACATAGCCTGTGCACAGAGCAAAGATGTGGGACTGGGAGGGACCCTGCAGGTCCACAAAAGGCTGCCTAGGAAAACTACAGGGAGTGGATACAAGACCAGCCACCCTGTCCAACTAGGCAGTGACAGGTCTTTATTACAGGACAGACTGCATGAAAAAAAGCATTCTACAAGAATAAATGTGAATTGCACTATGGGCCTCAAAGAATCAACAACATTTTTAAGATGGTTCTATTTATTAGCCAAGAACCTTTTCCCAATGCCTAGTGCTTAGATGGGACCACAATGTCACTTTCTCTCTTTTGTAAGCTTTAAATATAAAGTATTTGTAAATGCAAATAAAGTATGGATATTGGGGCCTTCCTTCTATGGTCCTGATGCCAAACATGCAGCCGCCACAGCTCAGTGTGAAGCACTGGTGGGCTTTAGTGCTGGACCTAGTGGCCATTAGTGATAGCTGCAGTCCAGCAGCTCAAATTGTCAGTTTCGGTACTTACTAAACAGCTATTGGGTGCACACCAGGAAAGCTCTGCCCAGCATAGCAAAACTTAGTTATTCAGGAATTCAGGAACAATTATTCTTTGTTGGAAGCGAAAGTGCTGTGATTTGATACCAGTGGCTATTTTTGTTACTCCAAAATGCATGCTTAGACAGGGTAAAATTAATCCAGCTCTGCCTGGCCTTGCCCTGCAGGTTACTGCTATATGTTATCTATTGCTTGGTTAAAAAAAAAAAGTAGCAATAGATCAACATTGTAAGTTTTTTAAATTAAAACCTCTGCTTTGTTACATCCTGTTATGTCCACGGACTGCCCTATTCAAAACTTATAAAAATGTAAGACAGAGTAGTTGCACTGACAGCTACCTATTGTGTCTAATCAAGAAAACGATATATTTACTACATTAAATTTAATGAATTTGCTGCAAAATATGTGCTCACTGAAAACACATTATATTTTCTTTTTTAGGAAAGGTTAATACAGACCTTCTTTTTTTTTTAGAAGTCCTGTTGGAAACCAAGTTTTTGCTATGGGAAAAACACACTTTACTTTTCCTTAGCGAATATGTATTATCCCCAACATTTAGCAGAAAGGTTCTCATAGCCCAAAAACATTGAAATAATAACATGACCATGTTTTACAAATGCAACATGCACAAGTTTATTCCACAACCACTATTGTTCCCTGCACACACTAGAAATATACACCAATTTAAAAGCAACAAGTATGACCACTCAAAACCTTATTTTTTTGGGGGGGGGGCAAATGATTGGGGATGCAGATAGATTTTCAGAACCATCCACCTTTAGCACCAACTAAGAAAGGGCATCAGACTGCACAGGGAGGAGTGAGACTCGGTGTTCTGAGGAAAGAAGAGCTTGGAAGGGGTTATTTCTGCATTGGTGCCCATTGGAGACACATAAGAAGCCAGTTTTGTGATATAGATCACCATTCTCTCTTATAAACAAATTACTGGTCTTGGGAAGGCTAAGCAAATTTTAGTTTACCTAAGCCAAAGCTGATATTGCTGTATGAAAATCTAAGCCAGTTCACAGATCAACTACTGATTTTTATTTTGCTTTTTCTTATAAATGTTTAAATAGTTTAATTCATACTGTACAATACTTAAAAGAGCGTATTATAGAGTGAACACCATAAGAGCAATTAAAATAAAGACATTACTGGAGAACATTACAGCAGTAATTATACTGTAGAATTTACAGTCAGCATTGAAAACACACACACACACACTTTACAGCAAACCCCCTTCGAATTGTATTCTTTGGGCTAAGAGAGCTAAAACAGAAGAAAACAAAGGTTGATACTAAAAAAATCACTGTGCTGCTAATATTCGGAGGCACGTCTATTATTACATTTCACGAATACCACCGTGCATCATTTGATCAATAGCATGTGGCAAAACCAAATAATATGTAACGCACTTGAATCCAATTTAATAGTCATCTCATTTGTAACATATTCGCTAAACTCATGCATCAAAAAATAGATGATGGGGATGAGATTTCCATAACTTAGCAGCCCATTCTGAATGCACCCAGTTGTGCAAATATTATAATGAAATCTTTGAATTTAATCCAGTCCGGAAAACATGCTTAAAACGCTTTAGCCTTATTCAAGCAGAGACAATACTGGGAGCAAGTAATCTGCATAACTCTGTAATATAAAAGGGCCGGTAGTTTTGTATTATAAAGTATACCAGGGGGGTTATTCACAAAGCTGCCATAGGCAGCCGAGTGAAAAAACGACCCTAAGTGAAGTGAGCCGAACGCTGTTTGGCTATTCACTTCAGGCTTGTACGGCGGGTGGCTTCCGGTCGACCGAACTTACTCAGCATGTTCGGCCAACCCGAAGTGCAGAAGGAGTTCAACTCAGCTGATCCAACATCTGGATCAGCTGAGCCAAACCTCCGGCAGGCTACTCGCTGCTGTTCGGCCTATTCTAATAGATGCCGAACAGCAGTGAGTGAATAGCCGAATGCTGCTCAGCGGCATTCGGCTCGGCTATTCTGCTCGGTACCACTGTTGGTACCGAGCAGAATAGAAAAACAGTCAAAAAAAGTTTTCGAAAAAATAGAAAACGATTTGGTGGAGCTAGCAGTGACAGCTAGCTCCGCCCAACTACTTTTCTATTGTTCGGGACCAGCTGTCATTAGAATGAGAGCTTGTCGGAGCAGGCGGGGATATGAAAGCCGACTCTGCTAAACTCTCATCCTAATGACAGAATAGCCTCCGCTGGTTACCCAGTAATGAGCGGCATCTGTATAACGGGTTCTGTGTGTAATTAGCGGCATCTGTATGACGGGTTCTGTGTGTAATGAGCGGCATCTGTATGACGGGTTCTGTGTGTAATGAGCGGCATCTGTATGACGGGTTCTGGGGGTAATGAAGGGCATCTGTATGAGACATCTGTATAACGGGTTCTGTGTGTAATTAGCGGCATCTGTATGACGGGTTCTGTGTGTAATGAGCGGCATCTGTATGACGGGTTCTGTGTGTAATGAGCGGCATCTGTATGACGGGTTCTGTGTGTAATGAGAGGCATCTGTATGAGTGGCATCTGTGGGTTCTCAGTGTAATGAGCGGCATCTGTATGAGCGGCATCTATGGGTTCTCAGTATAATGAGCGGCATCAATGTGTAATGATGGCCATCTGTCATTACACACTGAGAACCTGGCGGGGTCGCTGCAGGTTTGGCCAGGGTTGCATCAGGGAGAGGCATAAAAACGCAGTCTGGACAAATGTAACTTTGTGTAACTTGCATAGGCTGTGTCTGAAGTGTCAGCCAAGCTTCCTTTCTGCGTATGACACATGGTTATGTTTCTGCAGTTACATTTATGGTGCAGTTCCCCCAGGATCACATGGTTCCCTGGTTACCTGGTAACCAGGGATGCCCATCTGTCATTACACACTGTGAACCCGTCGGAGCCGCAGTGATTTTACAGTGGCTCTGCCGGTTTCTTCGTGTAATGACAGATAGGCGTCCCTGGTTACCTTTGGCTTTGGGATTCCCACTGTACTACTCCAAGGAGAACCAATTTATTTTTTATTGTGGTATCTCCTTGATTACAATCACAAATTATATTCATCTTTATAGTTGAATGGCCAGGGGACTTGGTTTGCCCTAGGCCCATATAAAAAGTCTGGTTACATAAATGTTTCAGTAAAATTATATTATGTATGATTTATGTAGGTTTTTGTTAGGGATGTCCCGATGCCACTTTTTCAGGCCCAAGTACAAGTACAAGTACTTCCCCTCATGTACTTGCCGATACCAATTACCGATACTTTTTCTTAAAGGGACAGGTGACTTTAAATGATCCATAGTACAACTACATATTATGTACTATGGATCATAATTTAACGTATTCATGTTAGCAGGGGAGAATTGTAAAGCTATTGTTGCAGTGCATTCTATATGTAGTATATAGTACATGTACCTATAGAGTGCACTGCAACAATAGATTTACAATTATCCTCTGCTAACATGAATGGATTAAATGATCCCTAGTACAGGGCTACATACAGATCATTTAATCCATTCATGCTAGCAGAGTATAATTGTAAATGTATTGTCTGCACTGTATTAGCAGTGTGTACTCTATATGTACTCGATATGTAGTACATATAGAGTATATACTGCTAATACAGTACTACATATAGAGTACACTACAGCAATAGAGTTTTACAATTATCCCCTATTCCCCTGCTAACATGATTAGTTTAAATCATGATCCATAGTACAACTACATGTTATGTATGTAGTATACTATAGATCATGATTTAACCTAAATTACTCTAAACTTGTTGTCTAGTTTTGATCCAATCACCGGTAATGCTCCAGTCTTTATTAACAAATTTCATCACACAATAATGAACTTTATACTAATCTTGACATCACGGTTCCCGTAGTCAAATGACAAGTAAGTATAATATATACCTTTCTGTGACATTATAGTAACTGACTTCCCTGAATAATGACGTACAATCTCATCAGATATGCACAGACATTCAATTTAAAACTAAGTTGAAGCATAAATGAATTCAGAAATCTTACCTAAGTTTGAAGATGCTCTACCCTCAGCCGCTCGATCTTTGAGACTTTCCGCAATGCCTAGCTGCTGCTCATGATACTGTTTAGCTCTCTCTAAGTCTTGCATACAGCGTGCAGCGTGGCCTAAGCCTGCATAGGCTCGCATCTCGATAGCCTTTTCCAATAACTCTTGTGCAAGTTCTAGAACATGGTTATGGTATGACATTGCTTTGTCAAAATTTCTTCTATAGTGATAGGCACTGCCGAGGTTGCTATATGCCCGGGCTTCTTCCCGTTTGTTGCCAAGGTCCTTTGCAATCTTTAAATGTTGTTCATGACAATGAACTGCGTTTTCAAAGTCTCCCATTGCAATGTAGACTGCTCCCATGTTTCCTAGCTCTCGTGCTTCAGACAGTTCATCTTTGGATTGTTTAGCCAGGAGAACGCATTGCTTGTGGCTTGCCAGTGCGTTGGGGTAATCACCAATTGCGGTGTAGACGTGACCTAAACTGCTTAAAGCAGATGATGCTGCCTATGAATATAAAAAAATTGATTCATGAATACAATATAAATGCAGCATAAATAATACATCAACAAAATAAGCATTACAACACAGTAGTAAAGCACAACTACCATTGATGCCACACAAAAGAGATATTTCAGTTTTGGATGAGCACTGCTGCACTGAAACACCATTGTTTAGATTTTCCAGCAGTAGTTTTTTTTTCTCTTTTCCTTCCCTCAGGACCATAATGAAAATGTCACTGTCTTATATTTATTAATCCATTCTACATTTATTTTATACAGTGGAAACTCAAGACAGTGTGACATCATCATTCAACTTTCCAGCAACTATGTCACATGAAAATAAAAGTGAAGTTGACCTTTAAGCAGAGTTGACTTTTAATAAGCACATAGAAACGTGAGAAAACATATCTAAGGGCAAGGCTTTTTCCCCAGTATTGCTGTTTAGATTAAATAAAGATTCCCATGATTATTTGATAAAGTCAGATGATAAATACGGTCCAGTTTAGTTGCCCCTCAAATATATAAATACAAAAACATTGTATTTATTTATAGTAGTTGTTATCTTCCTGGAGACACAACAGGATATTTCTTCAAAGTAAGGGGTGCTCCCCTTTTAGACGGTCACCACAGGAATAATTCCGATTAGTAGATTTCCCCTAACCTTCTGTTCCAGAGACAACCATAACATTTTGGATTTCACATCTATTTGTCCTGGTGATAATGGTAACCAGGACATATAAAGAGGATGAAGCTGTCCAGCAGATACAAAACCAGCAAAAAAAGCAAAGGGGAATTTAAAGTGACACTAAAAATGCATTTAAGTGCCTTACCTATTAACTATACTGGACCTTATTTGTGTATCAATCGGCTGTAGATCCTCAAATCATCTCTGAATAGGTGTTGTTCCCCATTTGTGTGTTGTAAAGTAGCCACCACTCCAAGATCGCTCCCGTGATAGACTACAATCTCATGTTTAGTTTACTAATTTGTATTGAGATTGTAGTCCATCTCAGGAGTGAGCTTGGAGTGGTGACTACTTTACAACACATACAAGGACCACGTGGCCACCCTCCAGAAGGAAGGACAGTGTCAGCACCAATTCAGAGATGATTTGAGGATCTACAGCTGAGTGATACACAAATAAGATTTTTGTTAATAGTTGAGGTACTTGAATGCATTTTTAAGATTCAACGCCTGAGTTTAGTGCCACTTAAAACACTTTCACACAATATCCAAGACTAAAAAAATGTTGGTTTTAAATACACTTTAGTATCTATCAATTTAAAGCAGTCAGGCAAATAAAACAGATTGATAGCTGTACTCCTGATAAAAATAGTATGCAATATGAAGTGCTTTGCAAACATTTAATGTTACAAAATGGAATTCCACTTTAAACTCAATGCTGGTAGTTCTTAGTAGGGATGCACTGATACCGGCTTTTCAGTATCGAGTACGAGAACGAGTACCAATATTTTTCTTTGGTACTCAGGTGACGAGGGAGCATAAAGCCGGCTTTCTGACCAATCAGGAAGCCGTGGGGTGGGTATTGACTCACCATTCAGCTTCCTGATTGGTGTTAGGGAAGGAGCGAAGTCCCCCTGTTTGCTGGATTGGAACCCAATAGCAGGGAACAATCCCAGAAGTAGAGTCCAGGCTGAGGTACAAGAAAGGATAATCTAAAATGCGTTGTCAGAGTACAGTCCGGGTCGAGGCAGGCAGCGAGTATCATAAACGATGAGGCAAGCCAGGGGTCAATAACCAGGAGATCCGAATAGCAGGGAAGTGAGGCAGGAAACAGGAAATGAGGCGTTGTAGATGCTTTGGGAATGTCAGAATAACTCAGCAACAAGTCTTGGCTCTGGCTGAAATTTAAACCCAGCAGGGTGTTGTCTGGGCAACCAGGAAGCCACAGGTCCCTGCGAACCAATGGGACGGCTGGGAGAGAAGGAGTGCTCGCAAGGCCTTCCCGGCAATGACCAGCACCCAAAGCAACTAAGAAGCCACGGCAGTGCCATATGCGCATGTCATTGGATGCGCTCATATGCACACCTGCAGCATGCCGCCGGGCACCAATTCACCCCAAGAAGGACCCTACGATCTCCGTCACACCCGCCGGACCCCAGGTAAGAGGGCACCCCTGGTCCCACGACAATTGGCCAGCTTACCGACCAATCAGGAAGCTAGGCGGCGAGTCATTACACGCTGCCCGGCTACCTGATAGGTCTGGGAAGCCGGCTCCATGGTCCCTTATCACCAAGTGACGAGAACAATCAGGAAGTCGGGCAGCATGTAATGACTTGCTGCCCGGCTTCCTGATAACGGAAGCTCGGGTATCAGGCTAGGCATTAGAGCATTTGAGCAAGTATGAGTACTCGCCCAAAAACTCAGTATCGGTGCATCCCTAGTTCTTACCTAAGAGAGCAATGTTGTACATGAGAGCCCCTCACTCTAACCCACCCTGTACCCCTAACCCTTTCTGCAGCCGTAACCATCCCTAATGTAAACCCCCTGTTTGCATGCTCGCCTCTCCTGAGTCCGGATCCTTTGTGCCATAGACCAAAACTTCAGATCCTGACATTGGTTTACTTGAACACACATTAGCTTAATGCGCAAATTCAGAGTGCTTGTCATCATCCCTGTTTTTCATTTGGTACAACTGGTTCTTAGTGGCCTTGACATCAGGAGCCAATTGGACAGTAAGGTGCTTTAGTGAATAAACTGCTTTATTTTATCAGAAATTTACTTACCTTTGATTCCAAGTATGAGAGGGCAGAGTTTTAGTTTTAAAAAGCAGAGTGCAGGGGGGCGCATGCGCGCGGTGATCCGGAGCGGACATGTTTTAGAGCAGCTCCGTGTCCCTCCGGCATAGCAGGGGAACCCGCGCCGCTCACCCCGGCCACATCGTGGCAATAACTGCAGTGTCAGACGAGGGAAGGAACGGGTGACACGGCCATGTCCTCCGCCAGAACATTTATGTTTGATGTTACGTTCCTTTTGGAAAATTGTTAAAAACCAATAAAATACTTTGAAAAGTAAAAAAAGCAGAGTGCAAAGAGCACTATTCATTGTATGATCCAAAGTAACCTGTAGGAGCCAATCAGGATTCGTTTTTTGCATGGATACATTAAACTTCCAAATGCTGATTTTTGATTGGTTGTCACGGGCCACTACACAATATTGTTCTTTGCACTTTAGAATTAAATAAAGGGCAAAGTGTTTTTGCTTTTCAGTAATGCTGAAATATGAAGCCTGCAAACCATTGCTCATTTTAACAGAAATTCCACCCATTACAGCTGCCATCCTATAATTGCAGTTTGCCTCATGTTAGGATATATAGTAATACATTGGATGACTTGCCTGTTCAGGAAGGGATTTAATCTATAAGATACTGAAAATATGCCCATAAAAAAGATGAATTCTAAAATGAGACAATTTCTCCTAAGAAAGCTTTAACGGTGAAGATAATGATCACTCCTGAGCTTGATTATTATTAATAATAAAAGTATAATAATTCTTCCAGGAATATGTTTTATTGGACCCTTAATCTGTGGCTCTGTGAAGAGCTTATCTTGCCTTTTTCATGGTTAACAATAAAAATTAAACACTAAAATTAAACTGAAGTCGTTGAAATTATGCATTTTATGTAGAAGCAATGAATATGTCCCAAGAAAATGAAAAAAAATATTTCAGATAATATTTTAAATAATTAAAATAAAGTCCCATTTGATATGTTCTGTCAGACCATTTGGTAATTTATACTTTGAAGAGTGACTAACAAAAATGTTGTTTCATGTATCAAAAGCAAGTAAACCTAAAGTCCAACTGAAATCAAGGGACATGATAAGAATGAGCCCTATGTCTATTGGACGACAAGTCATAACTAGATACCTTGCACAACTGCTATAACAGTAATGTGTGGATATGACTATGAAAATGAAGGTTGTTCTTATCATGTATAATTGATTAAATATCTAATTCTGTGAGTTCAATTAGGCTTTAAAACAAAAACTGGTTTTGAAAGGACTAATTTACACATATACAGTATGTGTAAAGTTTTAAAGGCTAATAAAATAAGATGAGCTTAGCTGCCTAAGAAAATGACTTGCATAACATTAATGCTTCTGCCGGTAAACTTTGAGAATGAATTACTCCACTGTGCCTGCAACTACAGAGTTTAGTGATGGCTTGTTTACAGTTCATTTACTGCTTATTAAGAATATATAAATACTTGAATGTCCATATCTGCAATACTCATCTTCAATCCAGAGCTACCCCAGCCCCCCCGTAATTATTTTGTGAGAATTATGCCTAACTTCAATTTGAAAGACTGAGGGCATAAGGTATGTCTTTATTCATAGTGTATTAAAGCAGAGCGCAGTGCTGACTTCATCATATCAGCGTTGAATTCTGCATTAGCAAGGGGCTACCCCAGGCCAGGGAGGAGAAGAGGTGAAGAGAAAGATTACCATCACCTGACCAGCTTGAAGACAGTAAAAAGGTACGTAGAAAAATAAAGCAAACTAAACTATCTCCTCCAGAATGAAGGGGAAGCATTGGGTGGGAGGGTGGGAGGGTGTGTGTGTGTGTGTGTGGAGGGGGGCTTATATGCTGGCTGGCTATTATTTATGAATACTTTTTTATTTAGTGAAATAAAAGTGAAAAGATTGCTTGATATAACGTATGTGCACAAAGAGAATAATAAAAAAAGGGATGTCCTCTGCATGAATATGGACTTATGTAGCTTTAGCACATCTAATTTAATATTTAAGTAGATTTGGCCATAAATGTCACTGTACTAATTGGCATTACATATTTTCCCTTTGGTAAGAAATTATTTGACCTTTGAAACAAAAAGTTGTCTTAACATTTCCAACATACTCTTCAGTACAGAAAATCTCCAAATCTTACTGTGCAGCATTGGGTCCACCTAGGTCAGATATCATGTAGGTAATCTTGCTTGTATTGCTTGCTTATTGTGCCTGCTACAGGTGGAAAGATTAACCA